TCAGCTGAGACTGTTCCTGTCAGAAATAAAGAATTTATTAAAAGAATGGAGGGGGAAAAAAGAAGGCAATGTTATATCATCACAACAGTCTGCAATTAGAAAAGTAATTACAAGCTAAGCAGGGAGGTAGTAGCATGTTAGTCAAGTATAATAGTTAACTCTACAGCTATAAATGTCAAGATTGATGGAGATAAAGGGACTAAAACCCCAAAACTGAGTGGCACAAAAAATTAGCCCCTCCATTGCTGATAGTCATTGTAAAACCCCCAAATGTTCTACCTTGTAATCCTAGATAATACTCCAAATTATGATTTGCTAACAGAAATTAAACCAATGGCTTTGAACCCAACCTTTAACTGAGGGACCAGAAGCTTGAAATGATGTTAAACTCCAGAAATTAAGAAGACTTTAGTTTTAGCCAACAAGTAGCTTTACCTGCTCGAATTCTGAGGCCCAACCATTGGTACCATGTTGTTTTTCAAATGAGTTGACCCAAGCATCAGGATTACTATGGTCTGCCCTATGCTGGTTAAACTCAGATATCCACCTATCTGCAGCATGAGCACCAGGTGTGATTATACCCTGGGACTCATTCCAATAATCCTCCAGCTCCCGATATCTCCCAGGAACAGGTCCCCTTGCTCGGACATCATTGTCAATTTCAAGAGACAACAGTAGTGCATTTACCTAGAAAAATAAAAGTCAATACATGCTATAGCAACTATCCATGAAGTAAAAAGAGGCATAGAAAATTATAAATACATATTCTATAAAAACCAGTTGAGAATCTACAATTTGATAAAAGCAGTCTAGAAGTTTTTCCATAGTAGTGCAAAGTCAGGGAAGTCTTGATTCTAAAAGCCATACTTCACCCCTTAAATCGTTAAGAGATGATTGTCATTCGAAATATGTCTACCACAGCAATTCCAAGGGAAAATTGGCAAGAAAAACCAGCCTAACAAATTTTTAAAGCAGTAGAAATACAAGTGACCTTAAATCCATTCATACCCAAACCATAAACAACATTAGTATACAGATATAGTGAAACAAAGAATGTTCACCAACCTGAGCATTGATAAACTCGTCACTCTTATCGGCAAAAAAGTGTCGGGCCATTATACTACTACGGTCCCGTATGCATTGTTTGTCACCTTCAGACAACCCTAATAACGGAAGTGGTGCTGGACGAAAAGGAACTCCTGCACGGCTACTGTCAACAAATGAGTGCAAAAAACTTGACAACACTCTTTGTGGGGGTCCTGCAAAAAGTAACCGAAGAGGAAAGCTATTCAATTGTAAGAATAATCCTCATTTCTTACACAAGAGATCAATGCCAGCAGGGCCAGTTTGGTTTTTATGGTGGGGGAGAAAGCCCTCAAGTGGTTAGCAGTCAAATGGAAAGAAGCTACAACAAAGAAACGTGATCTTCAACTGCCCAAATATGCTAAAATCCATGTTACCAGGTTTCTTACTCCAGGTTTATCTGCCATTACCCTCCCTACCTATGGACAAATCACAAAAGAGAAAGTACTATAATGCAAAGGCTGAAACTGATGAAGACATTCAATGCAACAGATAGCATATCGGGTATTCATTATAATAAATTTAGTCTCTTAAAAGGTCCTGAACTTCAAAGATACCAAAGCAATCATGTCTAAGCATCACAAGCTTGTAATAGAGAAGCAAAAGGAGAAAGAATAGCAGAATATGAAAGAGATATTAGAAGAGAGACCGTCGAAGGTGGGGGGAAGCTGAGCAGCAGGAGCGCGGTCGTAAATGGGGGGCATTTCAGGGATGCGCTGATGCTGTATCTCATCCCACGCATCAGCCAGTCCATTCTTATCGGCAGAACGAAAGCCACGAAGAAACTCTGAGCCCTGACAATTATAAGACCATAAGGAAGTTAATTATAAGTCCAAGATAGAAGAAATACAAGTAGATTTTGTAGACAAAGATGAAGAAAAACCTGGGCTTTTGGTTGCAGAAATGGCTGATCGAACTCGGAACCAGGAAGTGATGTGAGTTGCTCATCGGCGGGTGAGTAGAATGAGCCCCAGAACCGGAAGGACGTGGGCTGT